AGCTATAAAAAATGAAGACAGAAGAAGAAGGAACAGAAGAAGGGTGAATATAGAGGAGGAGGGAGGGGGGGGGGGGACACGATGAACAGACTGACTCCGCAGAGCTGTTTTAGCTGTCTCCCTGCCAATCCAGCCGGTGCTCATTAGCAGCTGGAGTTTCATTACCCCTACAGTGGAGCCTGTTTAATGAACCTTCAATGAGAACATGCATCCTGCTTCTCCATTTGAGCTCAGACATACAAGGTGATGTGTCCCCCCGAAGCAACTTGAGCCGCCGTCTTATTGCACATTCCAGTGTTAAAACCGCAAATGTCCTTTGCAACAAACACACACACGAACACACACACACACACAACAGAGGGTCCGAACAGACATCGTCAACTTAAACTGAGATTACTAATTGGACAGTATGTGCAACTAAAGTGAGGTTTGCTGCAAGAGATGGCATGGTGATAGTAATCATATTTGCCTTACCTCTCAGCGCGAGCTGTTAAAAATGTTGTAACAACAGACACAGATGGTATTCGATTAGCCATTAGAGCAACCAAATTGAAGCTTGCTCATGCAGAAATTCATCCCTGTCAGGCACAGCGGCTGTGCTTTTAGAATCTACACATGGACATCACAGATGAATGGAACTTTATGAATAAGTACTCAAAACAAAAGCAGCAAGTTTCACCATCTGATGAAACAGTAACAGATCAAGTGCTATCAAATGTAAGATGGGTGTCTAACTATTGTATTGCAAGTTTTATGGACTGGTAATAATTGTCCATGACTGAAGAAATTACAACTGTCCCATTCGAGTGTCCGCATATCAGTGGCTTTATGGATCTTCATTTAACATCCAGACTTATCTCCATTTCATTACATTATGGCAGGGGTCTGTAACGCCTCAACAGGGTACCAATCGAAGCACTGCCAGCATAGGAGAAGTAGGTACTTCCAGAAACAAACAAATTATGCAGTGGACATCCAACGGAGGAAGATGAACACACCTCTTCTTTAACAATAGCTTTCTTCTTTGGAAATATGGAAGACTGCGAGTTTGTTGTTTGCCAACTAAGAGCATAAACAGTTGCTGATTCAGTCAATTTAACATTGTGAGTGACAGGATAGTCAGTGCATGAGGGTCACAGACATTAAGTGGGGAATGACAATTGTGGGAGGGGATGAGAAAGACACTTCAGTCATGATTGACTGGAACAGAGCTCTGAGAACACAGCTGAAACAATTTTATCCACCCGAGCACTGACCGCCTGTTGAAAACATGCTCATGCAAGTAAACACAAACAAGCATAAGAGTGAAGGACATGTTCGAATTAGCACTGTTTCCTCTCTTGCAATGCCAGAATCTCACCTACTTTAACCTAAGACTGTCACAATAATGTATCAAATGTCACACTGCTTTTTTATTTCAGTTTTAACCTGACTATACAAGACATAATAGATTTTCCTAACAATCAACATATATCGAACCGAACCGAAAACCGTGACCACGAAACCGTGAATCGAACCGAACTGTGGATTTTGTGAACCGTCCCACCCCTAGTGAATAGTATGTCTCCTTTTTTGTTTACAATTCATACATACAAGTCATATTCAAGAAGAGTACTGATGAAGTCAAGCTGAGAGGAAAAAAAAATAACTTCACATGGGAACCTCTTTTATCATGTTAATACCAAATCACAGCATGTGACCAAAAAAAATATCACAAAGCATTAAAAGAATCTTTCTAAAATCAAATTGTCTGTAATGACAGATGCAGCACTTGGACTTCTGACATTCAGAGGCCTCCATCAGCACACCTACTAGCAAACTCTATATAAATCCGTGAACTAAATGTCACACAGTTCTTTTGCTAAGACTCTTTGACTCAGATTTGTCTGGCACTCTATCAACACTATTCTGACCTTGACAGGAAAAAAATAAAAGGGGGGGGGGGCAATGTCAAGCAACCATTTCAACTGTTCCCGATAAAGCCAGCATAGTTTATCCTGCCTGAACTTGGAGACAACATAAGCTAAAGGACCCACCCCCAGATGTCAAATTAAGAATATGTGCATCCTTGTCACATGTAACCAGTGATGTGCCACTTTTATTCATGGTTATATTACTGCAACAACTCATTCGAACTCAACCACAAAGATTCACCGTATTGTGAAATAAGACAAAATAAAGAAAATGCATATATAGATAAATAACATAAGGTGATTTTTTTCCCCCAGCGTAAAGCTTAGACACATGACAGTTTTGCACCCTTTTGGTATTCTCTCAACCATCCTCATGTTCTCTCTTGAAATGCTTTTTAATTAACAGGTGTGCCTCGTCAGAAATTAATTTATTTGAACGTTGTGCCTTTTTAAAAGCACTTAAGGGTATGGGTGCTGTCCAATATTTCAAATTAATTTCTTGCTCTATCCAAAAACACTTTTCTTTGATGTGGCCGTAAAACATCATGAAGTCAGGAACAGATAACCGAGAGAAACCATGAGAACTAATGAAAAGACAGGACATACTGCAAAGGCAATCCAAACAGTGAGACGAAGTTATGATGTGGGTTTTTGATAAACTACAGCTGTTAATGAGAAAAAGATCTTTTTCAAAATATTTTTCTAAATTTCTCATCTTGTACAGTTTCAAGAAGGCATATTACAGCTCATATAGAGAAATACAAAACAAAAAATAATACTTAATTCTAAATGTTGATCATCTAAAAAATGGTAATTTTGTGAAAATTGTTACATTTCTATCATCACAAGCCCACTTCTATCTTTACAAACACATGGGTTTGAATCAGTATGACTGGATGAAATTAATCAAACATCCCTTTGAAAGCAGAAATCAAAAGTAATTGTGGTACAGAATTATCTGCCATTTCTAGTGTTTCCTCTCACAAAGCGAAAGATGAATACGACATTCAGTCTCCTTTTCTTTACATCAGGAGTATTAAATTAGCTCTAAACTTAGCGGCCACAGAGACATTTGGTGTAATTTTGGTCTGTTGGGAACTTTACAAAATAAAAAGACAAGAGATCATTAGGTTTGTTAATTCATTAGTAAGGCTTTTTATCTGTAATTTCAAAGTGAGGTTATCTTAGTTTCCCTACAAAATTTGAAAAATTCTAATAAAACCCTGTACATGAGCAGGCATTCCAAAACCTATCCCTAGTGCATTTATATCTAAATGAAAAGGACTTCATTGAACAACAGCTGGGCGATTAGCTGCTGCTAGTCTGGCACATATAAATTGCCAAATTATACGTAATTAGTTGAATAAGCTGTCTCATTTCTGCTATTTCTAAACCGAGGATTTCTCTTGCCTGCTAACCATAGCTGTGAGAGACAGAGGTAGAAAGTTTCTCCTGGCTGATGCATTGATTTGTCTGCTGAATTTATTGAATAATAGTACACAGCTGCAATGAAAGGCAGGAGTGAGTCGCTGTCTGACCTTAAAAACAGATTGTTTGTTTCTGTAGTTCTTTAAAGGCCGAGTCAATATCCGAGAACATGTACAAGTCACTCTCAGAGAATAGACTTAAAAGCTTTGAGCTGTACAAGGAGAGAATTTTGCCCATATTCAGTTGTGCGCCATCAACAGCCTACAGAATCAGACAGTATATTTTTCTAAAAACTGAAAATGTACCACACAACTAGTGGCATTCAAATATTTTCAATTTCTTCAAATATTTTGGTGAAAATATAGGTTTTAAGGACGATGGACAAATTTAAGGCAAAAAGACTTGATCAAAGCATAATTAGTTGAACAAAAGGTAAGTAGGTCTGAATGACATTTCTATTCTTGATTTTTCATAAAATAAAGGGTAACATCTGAAACCTGCTTCGATTTCACCACAACAGATTAGCTAGGTGTCAATGTGACTATGGCAGTTTTTTTTATATAATCAATATCATATAGTGGGGGTCTATATATTTTTGGAGGCAGCTGCTGTCCTATTAAAGCAACGCTGGCTAAAGAGCTACCTTCTGTAAACACAAAAGGCTTTTAAACATGAGCTCCCTAAAGCATGGGCAGGACGGAGGATCACATTAGATCAAACTAATTCCAAGACGTGAACATTTGGACAAATACATTTGAGCTTGTGATTTTCGCAATCACATATATCCCTGAATTTCCAAAGATCTTTTCGAATTATTTTTTCCCCCCCTTTGTTTACATCATAAAATGAGCCCACCAGCATTGCCTGTGTGCCTAATGTCATGACACAACATTAATGAGCTGTTTGCCCTCTTTGAGCTATGTTCCAACTGAATGTCAGACACACCCTTGTGCCTTGGTATGTCCCAGCTGCAATGGGTTTCTGTGGTACATGTGTATGAGCCATGTACAGTCAGAGGGCACTGTTCTAGTAATGCCTTTTGCTAAAGATAACATGTACTAGATCTCCACTTAAACCTACAGGAAGAATTTGAGCCTGCTCTGCTCTACTGGAAATCAAAACAGCACTTAGTGGAGCATTAACACAACACACATGCTCACAAACACAAATCCCAACACTACAAGCAATGAGCAACACGGCAAAATGCTAAAAGCCCATCTCAACAAAATGTGTAAAAACAAGAGCATACACATGTAGAACTACAGAGAAAGGCAAGGTCCTGCCCTCACTACACTCTACTGGCAGAATGTCAGCACTTTGGTCAAACCATCTATACACAGTGGAAACTGACTCCTCTGTTATCTAAACTCAGTTCAGAAAAAAAGGACTATCATGTGTTTGTATTAGGAGCTAGAAGAAGGAAAAGGGCTCAAATGCTCTGATCTTTAGATTAAGTCATGCAAGAAAAGATGCTGTTTGAAACACTGAAGCCCCGTTTCTAAACCGAAGACAATGTCTGGACTCTGGAAACATGTTAAATGACCAATCTTAAAGAATATTAAAACAGAATCTTTTACACAAACAAGTGAAAAAAAGTTTTTAAGAAAAGAAAACATAACATAACACAACGCATAAATGAGAACCTAAGGAATAACTCACCATTGTTGGATGATTCCTTGTTATCAGACACCTTATTTAGCACTGACACGATGGCATCAGAAGGAACGCGAGGACTCTCAACATATTTGGGCTTCCTTATCGGACCTGCCGGCGCACACAGAAGACACAGGGAGAATGAGCCGGAGAGCTTCCGACAGAAAGGCATGCAAAAGAAAAAATGACGAAGACGGAGAGAGTTCTCACAGGATTAATATGTTCCAGATGGGACTAGAGATGAGACACAGTGGTGTCTTAGTTGGACAGGCTTGGCTGCACTCCGTAGCTCACATAAAACTCACTCATACACACACACTCTCCGAGACAGCTCCCTGCACTGATAGCAGCTCCGCACTGCCTGACAACCCCGAATAGCTTCTGCATGGCAGGAGGCTCCTAGTAAAACAGTGCTCGCTGGCTGTGGGAATGTAAACTACAGCAGGAAACCACAACAATTAGCCTGTTAGCGGACTAAAAGTGAGCGCTCAAACACACACATGCAATGTTGGATAAGCAAGAGAGCTGATGTTGATCTAAGTGTGTACTTCCCCTTGAAAGTATGTCCTTCTATTTCTGCCTTGAGGTTACATCATAAGGACAGATTAGGGTCCAGGTGTGCTGGTGTGAGTCAGATGATGTATCTGGGACAGTGGGAACGTCCTTTGAGGAACGCCCTTGTGTTCAGAGAGGAGTCGAGAGTTGGATAGCTGCTTTTTTCCCTTGGCTTACAATATGCCAAGATTAGAAAATCCCACAGCTGCTCACACGATGCTTCTTCACCCCAAAAGAGACTCAGCTAATTTACCAACATATTTACGGGGAAGAGATCTGTCCAAGTTGTCTGTGACACAACAGCCTTTTAATCAACCCTCTGGAGACTGAATGTTTTTGCTGACTGTTACAAAAGACCCACTAGCCCTTCTTACAGGGGAGTATAACTGTTTATACAGTGGATAAAAGAATGAGATGAATCTAAATATGGAACCACTGTACAAAACATTATCCCAGCAACTGGCTGGTAGCTTTTTGAGTTTCCTACTTGGGGCCTTAACTTTTCTTTGTAAAAGTACATTTTTGGAGTTCACACAGACCAAAAAAATACGAACTAGACAAAAGCAACAAGGAAACAAGGCAGCGTGTATGAATTGGATAAAAAAAAACGTGCTCTCTTTAAACGAGTCTTTATACTTCACCCTTCTCCTCTTTTATTCCCTCGTTATCAGATGACTGTATGTATAACCTCAATCATTAGACACAGCACAAGATGTGAGAGCAGAGACAGCCCTTCCCTATGACTACATTTAATAACCAGTCACTTCTACTTCAAATCATTCCTGTGAATCTGATGAAACAGTGTAATCTTTAACTACTGCTGCCTGATGCACAGTGCCATCTATGGATGTGCAAGTTGAAATACATAACAACAAATGGTGGGTCTGATTCTTAAGAATATCTTCTGGGTTTGTCTTTTTTTGGAAGAACACAACATGGACTGGGTTAAAACCAAAAGCACACTACTAAATGTTAACCTCTGTAAGTTGTAGTAGTGAAGCTATTTATTAATTTTTTTGTAGAAAAGATGATAGAGTATATGTGGTTTGTGTAGATGGGTAAGAATGAGCATAAACAGGGGTACTCCAGTGAAACTTCTATTAGGAATCATCACATTTTCCTGTAATGTTAGTGAACAAAGCCAAAGAGTGTCCTGAAAATTCCATCATCTGATGATGGTCAGGCACAACCAATTACTCTGGAGTCACATGGCTCCAATTAAAGTGGCACCACAGAACAGAAGAAATCATATGAGACACACTTATTTCAGGTAAATACAAAAGCATCAAAAATAAAACAAGAAAACTGCTTAATATGTCCCAGAGCCTGAATTTAATCTCAAAACAAAAGAGGGCATAGTTTGAGAAATCTAAACCATATATTTAAGTTCATACTCGGTTTAAACAAACTGCAAAAAGGAACCATGGATCCACACTTTAAATAACAAACATGGGCTAAAATCGGGCCACATATTAGGATTAATGATATACGAGAAAAAGGTAAAGGTCTTCTGGCAAGACTCTAATGTCCCAGTGCCAGATAGGGCTCTGAGGAATTTTGTTTAATTTCACAATTTAACAGGGTGCCATTACCACTCTGCACTTCTAGATGAAGGCAGTGACGAATAAGCAATTGCAGTTAATAACAGGCATGAAAAGGTCACAGAAATGGAAGCGTCAGATAAAAGACCCTTGAAGGACGATGAGACACGGGCAGAAATGAGACACGTTCTAAAATCAATCACACCTTGGCTGCAAATACAGAATAAAAATTCTAATCATATGCATTAATTGGTGCAAACTTTAACAATATTACATAGAGATTAATAATCTAATGCATTAATTTTACAAAGTGTGAAAAGACTAAAAGCGGGAGTGATGTTATTTCTCAGAAAAAATATCGACTTAGTAAAAAATCCACAACTAGGATAAAATCAAGAATAGTGACTTAATTTTGGTGTCCTTCAAAAATAAGGAAAAGCTAACAGGATCAATAAAATGCATACAGAAAACTTCAAAGTATGTTCTAATACAAGTATAGAACAAGTATAAAAGGTTTTGCGATAAGTACCATGGTTAGCAACACAAAAAAAATAATAATAATGATACAACTGCTGGCCTTTCAGTGAAAGGTAGACATGTTAAACCAAAGGGAGAAAAGGCAAGCAAACAGAAGCTTGCAGGGAAAAATTATAAAAGAAGGAAAACTGAGAGGAGTAGAATCTCTCTGGGGTAAAGCAGTCAGGCAGCTGTGACTGCAGAATACTCTCTGGAATTCACTGTCAGAGTTCAACATCCATAACCATCAAGCCATCAGTCAGAGCACACATGCACACATGCATACATACCAAGAAGCTGAGTACCTTCCACCAACAACTTACAAAGTGAAGCCAAAAGCAGTGAAAGGGATGATTGTTCATGGTTAGGAAGTGATCAAGGAGCTTTCCCAGCATTCTTCAAGATGGACTCTGACTTCTTCACATTTCAAATTATCAATGAGACAGTGTGCACTCTTTATGAAAGAAAGTGGCACACAAAAGTCGTCTTTCTGCACCAAAGTGTGGCACTGAGCTCGACTCAAAAATGAACATTTAAAAAAATCAGGCAGAAAATCTTAGATGAGGATGGTATTCTGGATGCTGCATAACAAATAATCCCACCAATAGATGTTTCGAGCTTTAACTATGCTAAAAATTCTGTTAGAAAAAGTTGAGGACAGCATTAACCATGGTGGTGCTTTGTTAAACAAAATTACAATTGCAAATTCATTCCCTATTCACAGCCTGAGTTATTACCATCAGCTGTAGATACATACTTAATAGGAATTACTATCTCCCAGATCTTCCCTCGTATGATGGATGAGGAAGCAATGACAGTTTATTCAGCAGTCGTGTCTGAGGCAACACAAGCTTTGAGATTTCATTATGGGAGGAATCCATGTGATAAGAAACCAAAGTTGGAGTGGAGAAAAGTGCAGTGAAGTGGAGAACTGCATAGTAGTTTTCACAGGGTGCTCATCAGAGGGACTTTTCAAAGAGTATCCGCAGCCTCACAGGGTCTTTTACAGCACAGCTCTTAGAAAGGCATCAATATTCCCCAAGGGCTGTCTGGTTACTGTCAAAGCCCCAGGAAGGATTTCAGGGGAGCTCACCTCAAAGCGGCTAAAACTGCCTTTGATGGGAGTTTGTATCCTCCTGATTAAACAGCAACATAAATTCTATTCTTGTAGAAGACGGGAATGATAGAACACTCATCTACAACAGGCCTTTGTCATTATTTCAGTTTTTGTGTGATTTGATATAAATAGCAAAAAGACTAATCCCATATGACCACCAGACTCATGCTTTTGATGGTTGTTTCATAGCTGGATTCAATCACCGACTGAAAATCTGTTGAGCTTGACATTTTTAGAGGAGAATGTTATAAAAAAATTAATACATTTTACCATCTATACAGTTTATAGTGGAAGCTATAGTAAAACATGCTTTAAAATGATAAAAAAAGGAGACACCAACAAAAACCAAAACAGGTCATCACATCCATTTTAATGGTACTGAGGGCCATAAGTTCCCCAGCAAAAAAAGGCGGCACGGTGGAAAGAAAAAAGATTGTGTAGGCCTCTCTAGATAAAAAAGTGAGCTGTACTCTCAGTTGTTGCCTTTCAGACCTGCTGCGCTGATCAATAAATTCATCATCCACTGAACCCCTGGGCTCCTGGTTATTTAACAGGAGCCCATGCTTTTCCTTTCAGCTTGTTGAATACTACAGCTCAGGAGACAGATGCTGGTAATCCCACAGATGCACAGTAACCCATTGCAACCAGTGGAGGTCACTGTGCACATACCCCAGAGACCATCATGAAGGGGCACAAAAGGAGTTTCTAACTGCTGCTGAAATGAAAACCTCCTTTGCTGTGTTATCAACTATGTTTCATCCACCAACAAAACAGGTTTGTGATTTTGGACACATCTTTGGACACATGGAGGGGATTACAAAGGTTCATTCAGAGGGGTACAATCACCACAGGGGGGTCTTTTGGAGGCCTGTAAACAGACAGTAATATGAAGGTGCTGTTCAACACATGTCAGGGTGCTGTGTTTCATGGTCGAGCTCTGGGCTTAGCTGATCAAAGCTGCCACCAGACTTTGTGGCTCAGGCATCCGTCACACTCCTAATTAACTCAATGTTTTCCTGTTGTCCCCTGTGAAGTTTTCATGAAAAGAACAACCGCTACGTTTGAGCCTTCCATGCTGTAACTGATTATCGAATGTGTTCGGAAATGAAGCCCAGCCACAAAAGGCCTCAGCATTCTGTGTAACTACTTCCCCTCAGAGACATGACTCGATGACAAGGGAATCAAAGCAGTATAATGCATCCAAGGACATGATGTAGGTGTCTATATGTATATATGCGTGTGCGTATATATATGTGTCAGTGTGTGTGTGTGTGTGTGTGTGTGTGTGTGGGGGGGGGGGGAGTTGAGTACATGTGTGCAGGTAGTGTGACTAGTGTGAATTACTGAAAATAATTCTTCAAAATGTTGAAAAGGGTTTTTTTATGCTTTCTTTTAAAGGGGTGAAATGCTCCCTTTATAAACTAAATAAATCCTGCAAACACAAATCAGCTGTTTTAACATTTAGATTTTTTACATGTTGCATGCATCAAAATACACTTGCAAAAATATATCTTTGTTTGAAAGGTAATGTCTTCCTATCCATGTGAAGGATGCAACCCTCTGCCCTTTTTGTCAAGACATTAAGACCTCATGGAATGTAATGGTTAATTCATGGGTTAATGCCACCAGCCGCTAAAGGTCAGTGCCCTTATAAACCTGACCCATGTTTGTGTTGAAATGTTTCCAGCTACCCGGCAAAAATACCTTTGCCATTGCCTGTTTTGTTTTAAATTAATCAATCAAATAACAGCATCATTTACTTTACTCGTATTCCATCAGATTAGACAAAAATAGAAAATATATATTTTTGCTCTGTTTTTAAAAAAAATAAAAAGTTTGGGGTGACAACAAGAAAAGGCAGTCTTAGGAGCCATGTTGCTTTCGTCACAGAGCTGAGACATTTCCTGCAGCGTGTGTTTATTAACTGTAGGTGTTAACTCTCCCCCAGCAGGTTTTCACAGTTACCTGTGAAGACGGTGAAGGAAAGCCTGCAGACCCTCCCCCAGCCCTTCATACTATCTTCTCACCCAATTTTGTTCTTTCTCCATGCCTCAGAGCACTCCAATAGGGAATGTGTCTTTAATGAGTGTTCCCTTCCTCTGTCCCCAGGGCCCTGTTCACCTTCACAAACCTTGCCTCTTCCCTTTATGTCCCCCCCTTCTCCCTTCATGTCAGTATGAGCATTTCATCAGCACTTTATTTAGCCAGTTCAGTCACTCCCTGTTGTGGGCGAACTGAACACATTTTCATTGGCCATTCTAAACTATCCTTCTTTTCTTACTTAGTTTTGCAGTAAGCATATTTCATAATTTAACATCCCCATCACAATTTCATTTAATCAAATTAGACATTCTGTGTGATTTTGTGGGAAGGTAGCATTCAAAGGGTTGAAGAAGGATAATACATGAGACCATATGTAACCTTTCCATGGAGCAGGATATGATAAAAAAAAAATTAAAAAGCCCACAAGACAATCCTGGATTTGGAATGTGGAGTTCAAAAGAGTTGTGAGCACAGGTTTGAATGAAGATTAAACCACACTATCAACTTCACATCAAGCGATCCTAACACTGAACAGATCAAAGCTGTAACCACTCTAAACAATGCTCATCTAATTGCCCACAGATGAGTGCCATATGTGAGCTGGGGTGGGGTGGGGGGCATTGACCACTTAAAGGATTTCTCTTCTCTTTGCCAAGTCTCCATAGTACAAAGATTCAGGCTGAAACAAGTTCAGCTACAAAAGGTATTCCTTGCTTTGAAGCAGTTCACAGATGGTGACAATATTCTCAATGTTGTATACAATGCTTGTATATGTGTATATATTTATGAATACATACATAGTGTCAATAACCCTAACTAACAATGAGAAGATTAAAAAAAGGCAAAAAGTAAGAACAAAAAAAACTTGAAAACATACCTGGTGATCTCTTGTTGGAGCGTAAGGGCATCATGTAGGACTGCCGTGGCAGCAGAGGTGAGGATGGTAGAGACATGGACACTCCCTTAGAAAAACCTAGCCTGAAAACATCATCTTGTGAATTAGGGTGCCCACTGCCAGGTCCCTGGGACTGGGGGTTTCCCTCAGGTGGGAATCTTCTTTGAGTACAATGGCTGTGAAAATCACCTGTTGAAGAGAATTACAGTTACCTCACACCGAATAAAATGTAGCAAAATCAAGGCATTTCTACATTTCGTTCATTTTTATCCACTGATGTTAAGTGGCACTTAAAAACATAACAAATGTATTAAACAAACTCCTTATTATTATTAACAGCCAGTAATCAGATTGTATTTGACACTGATTTGTGTCTGATATAGTGTGGTCACCTTCAGGATGTTAAGACCTAATTGGGATGAGCCAAGATTTAGATTAAATACTTTAGAGACCACTAACTGGCTGATTTTTCTCATTATTTTTGACACCAACCCCAGTGACGATTGTATCATATAGGCAATAAAGAGACAACTTTAGGGAAAATTGACAATTTAGAAATAATTTTGCCACTCAAAAATTCATCAAATGGAGGCAAAACCTCCCTCCTGAACTTTAGGTCAATGGGGATGACTTGGAAGCTGATGCATCTGAATGAATGTGCCGAATAATTTCCCTTTACGACCGCCCTGACTCTGAATCTTTATGATGGAAAACCACAGTGGAAACCTTGCCAATTCTCTTTGCTGGAGAGGTCAGTCTGGTTCAGACAGATCTTAACTTTTAAATGCATATTCAAAACATACACATTAAAGTTGTCAGGTGACAAAAAAACAGAGGTGTCAGCTTTTCAGCAAAGCTGTAAGCAATGCTTGTTGGCTCCCTGCTGGAAGCAGAGTCCCTTTCTGCTTGTTCTCACCCAAACTAACAGGTACTACACTGTAGTATCAAAGTTGAGTAATCTCCCAGGCTCTAACCCTCACCCTGACTCCCACTACCCACCCAATGGAAAGTCATGCTTATCTTACAATGTTTTTCAACACAGCCTGTACAATCATTGCATGCCACACCTTCCAGTTATAACATAAACAGGATGGTCACTGTATGATAGAACTACTTTTTAAGAGGCCTTTGAGGATTATTTTAGGAAAAGCAACTAAAATAAAAGCAAATAGATACATTTTATTTATTTATGAATAAAAATGCAGAGCAAGCTAAATAACAATATTAATGCAAATAAATACCTAGAATCATTTGGTGAGATTAAGGAGAGACGATTAATACTATTCAATTCTCAAATGAACACAGCTGAATACCCAGCCAGAGAGAGACATAAGTCCCCTAATAGATTGCCGGGGACACAAACAAGGCTGTTTAATGTGTATTTAGACCCTGGGTCATGGACCTGCGAGCCTTTCCCATGCCTCTAGGACATATGAGAGAAGGACATCAGGATAGAGAAGCAAATAGAACTGTCATCGACCATTAAGTAGAGATACTATGCAGTTCACTAAATACACTGCCTGGCTGTTCTTTGTTTCGCATTTTACACTATTCCATTACATATTAAAAAAAGAGATACTTAGGTGTGTTTCACTTGACTTATCAAGTTTCTGTTTGTCGTATTTCCTTTCTCACTCAAATGTCAATAAGTCACCACAATTGAATGCAGAGTTGAGCGGAGCTACAGTCACAACTCAACTTGGCCATTTCATTTGACAACTGTCCTCATCCCATTATAAACACAAAGGATTTAAAATGATCTTTTATGTATGGAACACATAGGTCCTTTTGAATCATGTCGAGTGTAAAACATATAGATTCATTTGAAAGTCTAGTTTGGGAGGAATTAACTATTATTCGGGTCAGCTGGAGTCATGTAAATTTACTTAATGATGAGAATGGACTGCTGCACCAAACACCCACTGTCTTTAGTGTCAGAGGAGCAACCCACTGTGTTTAAAAACACAAGCAATTCAGCCATTTCAAGCCAATTCATAGTTTACATTTTCAGAAATCTTGCTAAAGGCAGGGACACCATTATTTTTTAGTTGAAAGATTAATGCTGTCACTGCTTTTTCTATCCAATTTGTATGCTGCCTGAGAAATTTCCCCCATTTTTTTGTCTCCTGCCTGTCAAAATACAGTATATTGTAACATTCATGGAAATGCTTCCCTATATTCCCAACATATGCCAAATAAATCTGCAAATGACTTTACCTGCTGACTACTTTGCTCTCGAGATGGGGAAAAAAAACAACCTTAAATGGATAGAGCAGTGGTTATACTGGCTCACAGCATCGTAATCTATTCTGCAGAATCACACTTGCTCACTCATCGCTGCCACAAATGAAAATGTATGAATTATCAGCCTCATGACTATAATTATTACCCAACACAGAGCAGACATCAGCACACTGAGCTGAGTCATTACTGTAGATGTGGTGAACCACATTAATGAGAATTAGCCTTGGTTCTGTTTTCAGGACTTCAGTGAATTAGTTTTGGCTCCTGTCTGCTGCCCTACGTTTGTAAAAATCAAAGAATGCTCTCATGAAAAAAAAAAACTTGCTATTAGCACCCTTCTGCTCCCACTAACCAGAAACAGAAAGCAATTTTCTGCACATGTCTGATCCACTAAAGTGGACACAAAGCTGTTTAAAGGGCTCCTAAAAGAAGAAGAATGCTAAAACAGGAAGGACGATTTAGACATGGACAAACCTGCAAATGAGCCAGCAAGGGACAAGAGCTGCCACCACCTTGACTTAACTAGGATTTACTGCATGCACAGGGAGTTTGCGTGCGTTTGATTATGTTAGATGTAAAAAGACCTGACACAATGCCACAAACGTGATTACATTTCTCTGAAAAGTAATAATGAAACACTTGGCATTAGTTTTCAACTGCATTGACCACGAACCCTACACTTGTTTACGCTATTTTAGCACTGATGCTTATTGAATGCCTTTTAATGATGTGTTATCATCATCACCTTGGGCCAGCATCAGCAGAAAGGTATGAAAATGCACCCTCTCCACCTTTGCACACCAATTCTGATCAGTTCCTTTCAGCAACTTGTTTGCATCAAACTTAATGTAACAACCACCCGTATATTCTTATAATAACAAATAAGCATTCTTAACTGGCTAATGAGGCCACAGTGCAGTGGTCTTTCCCCAAGACTACACACTTATACGGTAAGAGTTGGTAGCAGGCTGCTAACTTGCTGCAGTCACAGAAGACTGTGGCCGATATATGTTGAAGCCACACTGCATGTTAAAGAGATTAAGTAGTAATTTTGGTAGCTGGTTCTGAAAACATGAGGCGCCACATAAAAGCTTGTCATCCAAGGGTTGGTGAGCAGACAGCAGTGTGTCATGGTGACTGCACTGCCATCTGACCAATACTATAATACATGAACGGACACAAGGACAAAAACTTGCCAGTTCTATTTCAGTTACTTTCCAGAACCCTGGTTGGTGCAGACCTGCAATTTCAGCCCTTGCTGTGGTCAGGGAAATCAGCCCTTTCTAATTATACAGAACTGGCCCTGGATGATGTAAAAATGATTACAGTCCCTTGCATGCTTATTCCTCCCCATCAAAGCGAAGGTCCAGAGACCATGAGGACACACAACCCATGAAACAGCTCAATAATATTTCAAGGCAGCGATTGAGTAGAAAATCTATTAAAGTGCAAATCAATTATTTGACTTGTCAAAGTGAGTCGTTACTGAATGCTCATCCAAACCGATGTTCCCCTGCACGCCTACGTCTGCATAAGTGCTAAAAAAAGATAACACGTTTCCTTAAAACTTCGAAGGCAAAGGGATACTAGAAAGCTTGGCTGAAGGATCACTAATGACAGCATCCGTGTAAAATCACACTAAAAAACATTAATTGTTTTAAACACCACATGTTTTGTTACAACCCTCTTACAAAAAGGACAGAATTTCACTCTTGCAGAAAATTGACCACATTTCTGTGCTTATTCAATAAAGAAAAACACAAATTAAATTAATAAGAACAATTTACTCTTGATGCATGTTCTCCCTGCGTCTTCATGGGTTCTCTCCGGGTTCCCCGGCTTCCTCCCACTGTCCAAAAACCTGCATGGCAGGTTGATTGGACATTCCAAATTGCCGACAGGAGTGAGTGAGTGTGCGTGGTTGTTCCTCTTCATTAGTCTATATGTGTGCCCTGCGATGGACTGGCGGACCGTGCAGGGTGTACCCCACTTCTCACCCACTGAATACTGGGACAGGCTCCAGTCCCCCCCATGACACCATTTGGGAATAAAGAGTTCAGAAAATAGATGGATGGATGTATTTGGAAGAGTCACATTTTTTCATTATCCAAGATAGGCTACACATGAAATTCGAAATGTCTTTCAAGCTGTGGGAAGGAATGCGATATGTCAGTGCCTCTGAAGGAATGCATCGACCCCCCAATGATAAATACTCTAAAATATGCAGTGCTAGGAGGTATATTGTGTATAGTGCAAAATAGATGGCAAAAGTGAATCAAATCTGAAAAATGTGAATCCAGTTACCATTTAGAATTCTTCCATACACACTAAAGACACATTAGTTTGCCACCAGCACTAAGGTCTAAAGAGAAAAAGAAAAAAAAGACCATAATTAATGCAGAGTCTTTCAATCATAACACAAAGCACAACGACCGCAGGACAAACCACCAAAGGGGGAGAATTCTTTCGCTAGACTGATTGCCAATGAGGATTCCCTGTGTACTTCCGAGAGCTGAGGGACAGTCTGACAAAAGCTGTCATGGTTAACACACAACAACCCACAGAGAGGAGCGAGAAACAGCCGACAGACAAAGACAGCAGAGTGGGGGGAAGTGTAAGTGATATATAACGATCAGGCACATCAACTAAATTTCATTACAAAGAAAATCTGTTAAGTTCAAAGTTCACTAAATAAGTTGAGACACAAGCTACTTGTTAAACCAACACCCTGCCATCATGATGTTAAAGACAATGGAACCATCGGCTCTTCTTTCCCCATGAAGCATTTCTAATTTCAGACCGCTTTGCTCAGCC